ATGTTTTTATCCTCAAACACCCTTCTCCCAATATAGTACCAGCAGCAGCCGTCGCCCGTCCAGTGAGCACCAAAGTGCTGCAAGCTTCTGACTAGCTAGCAGCTCTCAGTGGTGGGATATTAACCTCCAGGCACGTTGGTCATGGGGAAAGACCCACTGCTGGCTTGTGTGATGCCCAAGTAACACAGAAAGCAGCAAGTCTTTGAGAAAAGAGGCATGTGAGGGCCTGGTTCTCCAGATGGCAGCTGAGACTCCATCTCCTCCATAGGATTCCAGCCTCTTTGTGAGACAGATTACTTTTACAGAAGCACCTGTATAGCACAAATGGAGACAAAAACCAGCTGAAGAGACAGTAAAAGCACTTAGAGTTCATATATTGTACAGAAAAATATCCAGTATCAGAACAGCAAAATAGGTGCATTTAATCCCCTTAATTCTTTGAAAGTCAGCAGACCAGTAAAATTGTATTGCTGTTGCTACAGTTCAATGAAAACATTAATGATGATGTTACTGCCCACTATGTCCAGCAGACTAGTAGGAGACATTTACATTAAATAAAGAGCTGTTTTGCAGCCTTGTTCAGCCATTGGCAGTATTGCGTGGATAATTGATTGTGCTCTCACTGTTTTGTCTTCTAATATAATGCTGTTTTGTTACTCGTAGGTGGGTGTCTTTAAGATAGTGTTGCGCACCATAAGGTTCTGCCTACTACCTAACAGTGCTCCTTTATCAAGGAACTAGAAATGTGCATTTACATCTTGCTAACAAGAGGGAAAAATAAACATTTATGTCTACTCTCTGCTTCTTGTGATCTAACCAATCTTTTATCCATCCAAACTTGTCACTAGAACACCATGAGCTTGCATTTCTTGCAATAACTTTTTATGAGGCACTTCATCAAATACCTTCTGGAAATCAATGTTCAGTACATCACCAATTATTTCACGTACTACTTTTTTCAGGCCCAATGGTAAAGTCCATCAGGTCCCAAAAAGTTGTCAACCTGTGGCTCCAACAGTTTACTCAGTACTAGTTCCCTGGTGATTGTACTTTTCCTGAGGTCCTCATCCCTTCCATTCTGATTTATAGCTGTCCCTGGGATGCTATTTGCACCCTCATTAGCCAAGACTGATAGAAAATATGCATTCAATTCATCTGCCATCTCCAAATTTTCCATAATCAATCTACATTTTGTTATCCTTTCATGTGTTACGATGGGGAATGGCCGAACCCCTCTGATAATTAAACCAAAACACAAGCCCCACTGTAATGACAGGAGTAGGGGTTCCTCTCTAGTAATTATTCCCAAAACATCCAGAAAAGCTTCTCTTTTGCCTAGTAATCTATTAAAAGAGTGGTTAAAAGAAAGAAAATCCCTGATTTCCAATTTACAAGTAACAAGAGACAATTGATTTATTTAACCCAACAATGAACAAATTAACAAAAATATTAACAAATTGACAATTCCCCCTTAGACTACTAACTACTCCCAAACTGGTCTAAATTCCACGGGAATGCTGTTTAAATAAAGACAAGTCTCACTAAATCAAATTAACCAATTAACAAGAAGCAATAAATTCTAACTTAATCTCTCCAAGTTCACACAGGCTGTCTTCTGGAATATTCTGTCATCTCCGGTCTCTTCACAAACACCTTTCTTCCGTTAATTCTGCTGTCAGGAATGTTTTATCTCTTTAATTTCTTCAATTAGGACTTCGAGCTAAAATAGCGTGGTACCTTTGATTAATTAGATGGGCTTTCTCTGAGAGCTGAATGGTGCTAATTCTGGCAGGTGGCCGTTGTCTCTCTCTTTCAGATGGCGGTTGACTCTTCCCAATTTTCCAAATGACCTCGTCTGATATACCCATAATGACATAATCAAATTCTTATAATATGATTGGTTTCAGGCTGTCAACACCATCAGATTTAAATTCAGTTGGCTTTCTGTATCTAGGTGCTTCGTCTAAATCAATTGGCTGATTTCAAACTTGTTGTCTTGGAAAAAAAGTGCTGTATGGCTGTTCTGTACAAAATGTTTCCATTCAGGCATCCTCTGTGCACCTGCATGTATAAACGTCCAAGCACAGACAAGCACAAGCTCTTAAAGGCACCAAAGCACTCTTTTCCCCACAATCATTTTTGCCAACAAATTCTAACTTTGTGCCTTCCAATTCATTAATACTCTACCTAACTTTGCAACACATGGAATGTGACCTTCACCCAACATTTATTGCCTATTCCGAATTACCCTTGAGAAGAGGGTGGTGAGCCAAATTCTTGAACCACCCGCAGTCCATTTAGAGCATGTACACCCAAGGTACTGTTACAATGGCAGTTCCAGAATTCTGACCAAGTGACATTGGAGGAATGATGATATATTTCCAAGTCAGGATGCTAAGTGGCTTGAAGATAAACTTACGCGTGGTAGTTGTCTCATATATGAGCTAACCCTTGTCCTTCTAGATGGTCGTGTTTGTGGGTTTGGAAGGTATAATCTAAAAAGCCTTAATAAATTTCTGCAGTACATCTTGTACACTATTGCTGCTGTGCATTGGTGATGTTTATGGATGTTTTGCCAAACAAGCAGGCTGCTTTGTCCATGATGGTATCAAGCTTATTGAGTGTTGTTGGAGCTGTACTCATCCCGGTAAGTAGTTTGTTCTGCTATACTCCTGACTTGTGTCATGTAGATGGTGGACAGGCTGCGGGAGTCAGAAGGTGAGTTACTGAAGTTATTTCTTGAACATATATGAGATAGATTTGAAGGTTGAAGAACCAACGAGAGAATGAACCATGTAAGATCTAGTGTTCAGGAATGTGAAAAATCTAATTAATAATCACATTGTTAATCCTTTAGGGAATAATTACCACAATATATGGAAGGTTTCCTTAGATGTGGGAGGACACTTGCATTACAGAGTACTCTGTAGAGTAGTAGTATATTGCCACATAGCGGAGATCACTGTAACTCTCTGTGTGAAGCCAACTAACTTCCTCTTGTTTACTTTTGCCATATACAAGCTGACAAAGCAACCATGAAGGTCAGCATGGGATTTCAGCAAGCACATTACATCATGGATACCTCAAATGAACTTGGTCATTTTTAGTAACAAAATGGAGTTTCCATCCCTCAGCATGCAGCTGGTTTGTGATCAAGGATGGATCATGATGCAGATAATTGGCAGATATCCTGGCTATGGTCATGGTATATTTATTTTGCAGCAATCTCCTGGGCTGGCTCTATCTCAGGCACCATGATGTGTCAAATGACAAGGGTTATTCACTCAAGGCACTCCATTCTGGAACCCGTGTACATGTACACCCCAACTTCTGTGGGCTATGTTGCCATAGGGTTCTTTCAAGGCAGACGTTTGATGTTTCAATCCAGGACCCTGCTTCTGCTGTCTGGAGTGACCCTGAAATACTCACATGAGTAGATTTCAAGGTTGTCAACCTTAACTTTTCCACCATGAGGGAACAGGCACTTTCATCAACAATGAGCTGAGACATTGAGAGGCAGGAGCACGAGAAGGAGGCTGAGGTTTAACGGGAAGAGGAAGAGAGGTTGCAACCTTGACTGGCCCTTTCTCCACAGGCTGTATATAAACAAATAACTTGTGAGCAATGGCAATGACTTTAGCCCTAGTTCTCCTTCCATGAACACTTCATTAATCAGCACATCATGCTCTTTCCCACAAAGCTCAAGTAAAAGACAATTCAAAATATATATTCAAGACCAAATGTATACATTCAGTCATTCCATATTGCATACGTGGCTCAGCACTATAGAGTAGAATTAAGAAAGACGAGAAGAGCAACAGTGATAGGTGATTTAATAATTGGGGGAATAAGTAGGTATTCCTGTAACTGCAGATGTGAATCTAGGGTGGTGATTTGCCCCTCTGGTGCCAGCGTCATGGCTGTCACTAAATAGAAGCAGAGCATCCTGGTGAATAGTCAGTAGTTCGTGTCAGTCTGAAATTACATAGGCGAGGAAGAGGTGATCCTGCAGTCAGAATTCAGGGTGCGAGGTAGGAAATTAGCAAACTGAAAATCAAACCTAATAATGTCTGGGTTACTACTGGTGACACTTGCAAGTGGGTATAGAAATAGATGAAGGTGTGGCTGGAGAAGTGGGGCAGGGATGAGGGCTTTAGATTCTTCGGACACTGGGGCCAACCCCACAAGAAATGTTACCTGTACAGGCTGGACTTTTTAAACTTGAACAGAATCTTCATTGAGATCTCTGCAAGGCATTTTGCTAGTGCTATTTGGAGGGATCTAATTAATGTGGCAGGGCAATAATAACCAAAAAATACTTGGAGAGATAGCACTATAATAAGGAGCAATAATTTACCAGCTGGGATCAGAAAGAAAGTAAATCAGGGTTCTTGTGTATGTACGTGCATACGTGCAGTATAGTAAATAAGATTGCTGATTACAGGAGCAAATTACTATGAGAAAATATGCTGTGGCTGCAAGTGGTGCATGTTGTTGATTGAGCACAGAATGGCCCTGGTAACACTAACACTTCTCTTGTATATTGTAACTAGTTTTAATGGAAATGTTCTGAATAGTCTGGTGATAAACACAATTGATAACGATCACTGCCACACGATTACTTTCTCAATATAACAGGAAAGCTTATCTCTCAGCTGCAATTTTCTTATTGAACAAAAGTTTCAGTTTTAGTCTGGTTTCCCTGAACCATTCCCAATTAAAGGTCAAACTTTATCTCCAGATTTCATTTAAATTCTACGTATGGGTGGCATCTCTTGTTCTATAATATTCATAGTGAATGTGTTTACAGCTTTGAAGTCCAATGGGCATTTCTTTTGGCAGGTAATTTGCAAATGACCAATGACACCTTAGGCAGAGTGAAGGCCATATCAACACCTGTGAAAGGAGCACAACATTATCTTCCTCATGACTGGTCACACTGCGAATCTCTGTCTTTGCGAGACTGATCGCTCCAGAACCGTGGCTCCCTGTCAACCAGCATGTTCTTTAGCCTGAGATGGTCTCTCATATCAATCTGCATTGGGGCAGCGTATATTATTGGATGCGATTCAGGAACAGACCCAAACAGTTTCAGCAACAGTAGGTTCAATGCTGCATTCTGCTTGGTAAAGATTAACTACTGTCAGACAAAATATTAAAGTTGTTCTCTGTAATTTTCTTCCACAAGACAGGATACTGCAAAATGGCACTATGGAGGAGAGATTTACTTATACAAAAAAAGCGATACCACACAATGTCACAGGCACCGTGCCATTGGTCAAAGGTTTTGTCTCTACAGCAGTTGCTGTGATTTGTTTTGGCAGTAATTTTGTTCCAGTGAAGAAAATTGATACAGGGGATGGTAAGTTACCTTCCAAGAATTTATTTTAGTCTATTAATTGCCTGGTTTTGGTGGCATCTTGTCTGATAAGAAAATCCAGGTCTTGGTGTACTTGTTATTACATGAGCCTTTACACTATATTTTGTGCAGATCTAATACTTCACATCATTGACCACCTAATTGTACATCTTTACGCACAAATGCTGTATCTTATTTCTGGCAGATAACAGGCAGAATATTTTTCCAATTGATCTACTTGTTTCAAGTTGGCTATTCTGCTTTTGGAAAGTGGGACAATGAATGTCAAACAGTTTCAAACTTGATTGCTGTTTATGTGCATTTACAATATCTTTGATGTCCAACCTATTTCAGGGCCACAGGAACTACTGAAACAGGTAAGACTACCATTGTAATAAAAGCAAAATATTGTGAGATGCTGGAAATCCAAAATAAAAACAGAAAATGCTGAAGAAACACAGCAGGTCTGGCAGCATCTATGGAGAGTCTCTTTCAAGTCCAATATGATTCTTCTTCAATGAGATGACCTCCAAAACTTTGTGTAGTAGAGAATTCTATACATTCAGCACCCTCTGAATGAAATGATATTTCCTTCTCTCAGTCCAAAATGGACTCCTCCCGTCTTGAAATGGTAACCACAAGTTCTGGATCTCCCAGCCATGGGAAACATCATCCCTGCCCTCTCTAGCCCTGTCAGTATTTTAGGTGATCCCCTCTCATTCTTCTCAACTTCTGTGAACTCAGGTCCAGTCAACCAGATCACGCCTCATTGTTGTGGAGCAGACCAAACCCCCTCAAAATATATTAAGAAGGTAGTCTAGACTCTAACTTTTTTTTTATTTTAAAGGTAAGTGTTAGGCATTGCATTCCAGATGCAATTCAGTTGGTCAAACTACTTCACGTTAAGCAAAACACACTTTATTTTTACACTATATTTTAAATACAGACAAAATAATAGTAAAAGAAAAGAATTAGCTTAACCATGACTCTTTCAAAATGCTTAACAAAATAATACATATATATTAACTACTACTAATTAACTGTTCCGGTACAGTAACATTCCACAAACACACTCTTGGCAAAGGCAAATTCAATAAAATAGATTGTCTCACATGCAAGTACAGCAACAGCTTTTAGCTGTAACACAGTGAGCAATAAAAACTTCCACATTCAGCTTCAAGACTACAGCAGCTGCTATTGAAGAAAAAAACTAAAATTCCTGATTCATTGGGAGCTTCATCCCATCCATTCAGGCTGTTTCTATTGTTCCATCACTCGCATTCATAGCCACTTCGAATGTCTTTGCGTAATTAAGTGTAGCTAACACTGAAGCAGTGGTTAACACAGCTTTCAGGCTATCAAATGCCTTCTGACATTTCTCCAACCACTACAATTTTCTGCACTTCTTCAACAAGTTAGTCAGTGAAGCAACCACACTGCTAAAACCTGGTACACACTTCCAATAAAAACCATACAGTCTGAGGAATCATAATATTTCCCTCTTTGTTGATGGTATGGGAAACTCTCCAATTTATTTTGATTTCACATACTATGGGACCTTTTGTTTGGCCCAGGAATGTGACTTGGTTTTTAAAATTTTTCTTTCCCCATCATGGGTTTCCTTTTTTATCCTTTGATAAGCTATCTTTGCCATCTTTAACATGATCTCCTTTTCCCTTACCACCTGAGGATTTCTCTTTCCCCCAAGTTCTTACAGATTGAAATTGATATCAGAAGCCAAACTTTAATTTATGAACCAACTGATAACCATTTTCCATTTCTGCTACCAATCTTACAGTCTTAATTCTCTGCTCTTCCACATGAATTCTCACTACTTCAGGAAGTGAATTTTTGAATTCCTCCAAAATAACTGTCTCTCTAAGAGCATCATATTTTTGATCTACTTTCAATGCCTTATCTATCCATCAAAATTACTTTGTTTGAGCCTTTCAAGCTCTATGTACATTTGACCAGGTTCCCTCCTTAGATTCCTAAAATGTTGTCTCTAGACTTCTGGTACTAGCACATATGCACTTAAGATGGCATTTCCACCTCGTTATACTCCCAAAATACCTCCTCTGATAGTGATGCAAATATCTCACTAGCTCCATCTACCAATTAGATTTCCAGGGGCCATTTCATTACAGAGTATGAAGGCTAAAAGAATTGTGGAAAAGTTACACAATTTTTTTCACTAGACACTGATTACCCACGGAGATTCTTTTGGATTCAGGGTCATTTTTTCCCAAAGTTATTCAAGGAAGTTATTGGACATTCCTCAAATTAAATTGGACAGTGAGAAAGTTCTCAAAAATTGGGATAAATTGTTGAGTTACTTTCCAGAGGAAAATTGAAATGACCTGAAACAGTTATTACATTCACATGAGGAGATATGTGGGTATAAACTGGGATATACTAAATTAAAAAGACATGATGTAGATTTAGGAAATGCTGTTTCTATTAAACAACATCCTTTTAGACTTAACCCTCTAAAATTGGCACAGGTTCAAAAATAGATTGAACACATGCTCAAAGACAATACAATCAAAGTGAGTTGCAGTGAATGGAGCTCACCCATATTAATGGTACCAAAACTAGATGATACCCAATGATTATGTGTGGACTATCACAAAGTCAGCACAGTTACAAAATCTGATTGATATCCTGTTCCATGTTTGAAAGACTGTATTGAGAAGGTGGGACAAACAACTTATATTTCAAAGCTGGACTCAATCAGAGGATACTGGAGCACTCTTTATCCAAAAGTCTAAAGGAAATTTCAGCTTTCATGACACTGAATAGACTGTACCAGTTTAAAAATATGTCATTTGGTATGAAAATTGCACCAGCCACATTTCAAAGATTAACTAAGAAAGTCATTTTGGGATTACGCAGCTGTGTGGTGTACATCAATGACCTGGTGATTTTTAGTCACATATGGAAGGACCATGTAGAACATCTATTGGAATTGTTCAATCAACTTTGGGAGGGAGGTTTGGTGATAAACTTGGCTAAGAGTGAGTTCACAAAAGCCCAAGTCACATTCCTGGGCCATGCCATTGGATATGGACAAATGACCCCATGGGATGTGAAACAAAGGTTATTGGGATGTTTCCCATACCATCAATGAAGAGAGAAGTATACGATTTCGGAACTGAGTGAGCTTTATGAGAAGCTCATACTAAATTTTAGCAGAGTGGTTGCTCCACTGACTAACTTGTTGAAGAAGTGCAGAAAATCTCAGTGCATTGAGGAATTAGCAGTGTGGTTGCTCCACTGACTAACAGGTGACTATTGATGCAAGTGAAGTGGGTGTTGGTGCTGTACTCTTGCAAGAAGGTAATGAGAGGATAGAAAGACCTATTGGGTATTTTTCTAGAAAATTGAATAATCATCAACAGAAATATTCCACAATTGAGAAGGAGACCTTGAGTTTGGCATTATCGTTGCAATATTTCAACATTTATATTGCCAGTAGTGGGGCTGAGATAATTATATATACTGATCATAACTGCTTAAAGTTTTTGGAAAAATTTAAGGACTGTTTAAATGGACCTTATTATTGCAGCCATTCAATTTGACAAGAGAACATTGCCAATGCGTTGAATCGACTTTGATGAAGGAAGACGTACGCATTCGGTGGTAGGAAATAAAAAGACTGAAAAGGACTGTAGTAATGAATGTTTGCATGCTTAGAGTCAATGTAATGTATATGTATGGTAATGTACTAATAGTGTAAGACTAAAGGATTTTAAAAATGAAGCCATCTTTGTGTATTGATGGTTCATTTTTTTATAACAGGGGAGGTATGATGATACTTTGGCTTTCAGAGGTGTATTTTATCCTGCTTTTTTTATGAAGAAAGATTGAGATAGAGATAACAAGCAGTCTGCTCCAAAGCCAATAAAGGAAACAGCTTGTGAGGCCTTGCTTTTTTTAAAGTTGAAACAATAGAAGCAGCCTGAAGGTTTGGAGTCAAGCTCCCACAGAACCAGGATTTTGTTTTAGTTTTAGCCTTCAGTAGCAGTTGCTGGGGTCTTGAAGCTGGATGTGGAAGCTCTTATTCCCCTCTGTGTTACAGCTGAAAGCTGGGGTTCTCTTCCTGCTGCTAGAATTGCATGTGAGACAATCTATTTTACTAAATTTGCCTTTGCCAAGGATCAGTTTATGGGATGTTAATATATTGGAACAGTTAATTAGTACTAATTAATATGTATATATTTTTCTGTTAAGCATTTTGATAGAATTACAATTAAGCAAATTCTTTTCTCTTTATTTTGTCAGTATTTTACGTGTAGTACATGAATAAAATATATTTTGTTTCAAGCTGGCATGTTCAATCAATTAAATTGCATCACAGGATATGCCACATTCCATTAATGAATCAAAACAACTTTCATAAAACTAAATCTACAGCAGTTCCTCTAATAGTATAGATAGAAACAGCAGAGAAATTAAAGGAAAAATAAAGATTAAAAATGAAGTTAACTTCAATACCTGAGCAGCTCTTTTAAAACTATAAGGTGCAGACACAATGGCACCAAGTCTAGCAAAACAATCAGAGTCTTTCTGATGATGCAGTGACATGACTGATGTGATGAGGTGAGAGACACAATGATGTGATGCAGTGACATGACTGATGTGATGAGGTGAGAGACACAATGATGTGAAATGTGATCAGAAACTAAAGGATGCTAAAACAGGGAACTGTACTTTTAAATGAGGTGAGAGAACATAAAGAAAATCTTATTTAAAGAAAAAATATTTAAAAGGTAAGATTTAAAATGAGGACTTTCTGTAATACATTCAACCAAAAATCAACAAGTAAGTTGTTGTGCAACTCAGTCATTATTGCTCAGTATTCATAAAGACAGGTTATAACATTCTGGTCAGTTGTAGCTTCTGCACAAAATGTCTTATCACAACCCGTGGACAAGCAGTTCGGTCAATATTTGTAAAAAGGTATTTGAAAACTATTCTCCTTGATCAACATACATTGTTTTTGAAGTATATTGCATTCACAGATTTTGCTGAGGTCGTGAACTCTGTGTTTTACAGGTCTATTTTTCCAGTGGATTTTTTGTACTGCAGTATGGGTTGTCTCACTAGTGGTACATCTCATTCAACAGTGTCCACAGTTCTGGCCTCTCACAATGCTAGGTGGATTTCTGTGGGCTACAGGTATGATTAATTGCAAGTTGATTTATTTCTATATTTGAAACAAAAAAAAATCCTTTCTTTACATGTGTGGATGTGTTTCTAGATTGCGAACGGAAGGAGGTGAAATGTTTCACTTCTGAAATTGAGTACCCAAACACAAACTTGAAGGTGTAATACAACTGTAGTTGTGAAGTTAAAATTGTGCTTTGCTTTGAGCACACTGAATGGTGCAGAGGAGTATAATGTCTATGAGATAGTATTTGATAAAATCTAGGGCAATACGATGAATATTTATTTTCTGATTGTTGACTGTGTGTTATTACAGTTTGGTTGATTTGACATTCGTTACTTAAATGATGTATAAATCAGCACAAACTGAGCCACATGGGAAATTTGAAAAATCACTGCACTTAGTGACTACACTCACTGTGGCTTGTGGGCTTGTTGCTGTCTCTGGGTGCCATGAGTGAACATTGATTCCCTTTCTTTAATATCAATGCTGCTTACTTTGATAAGCCATAATCCCGCACCACTACCCCACCACCGCCGAAAAAAAAACACTTACTGTATTTGTTCACCTTAAATTCATGTTAACATCTAATTTATCCACACAATGCAATTGAACATCACAACATGCAAATTCAAATGTCATATCATTAAGAATGTACTCTAATTCAATATTGTGAAAATATGTATGATCTCAAAATTCACTTCAGTTTGGAAAAGTACACTTTGTAAAACTTTTTACTAAACATACGTCAAATTTATTTACTCCTTGGTAGTTTCCTGTCCCCAGAAGGTTCTCCATACTGTAGAGGCTGTCTAACCCAATCATTTCCTTACTCATTATTAACACACGTACATTTTCTGACAGGATTTACTTTTTTGTGGGCTGAAATTCATGAGTGACTTTCTTCCTCTTCCCATGGCACTGAAGCCAACATCAACTTCCTTACCTCAGCATACGTTAGGGCATCAAGGAAGAGTAACAACAACATATCAGAAATCCATTATCTGTTTAATATAAACAATGGCTTTGATGAATTATTTTCACTTTTCAGGAAATATCACAGTTATTCCCATATTGAAAACAGTTGGGCTTGGCATGGGAGTTTTAATCTGGGCTACTTTTAGCCTTTTAATGGGCTGGGCTAGTTCAAGGTAGGTAAATACCTTTATAATTATATTCACTTAATACATCTTATAATTAATAAGTTGTGCAAGTGTATCCAATTGGCAAAGAATTCTGCAGTCAGAGTAGTTTCCAATCTTATAGGAAAACAAAACAGCACAGTTTCAGAGCAACTGTATTTGGTTTTGACTGTAGGCAAATAATTCGGAATTATTCGTGTCTCAAGTAGGATTTAAGTTTTGAAGATGTTTATTTTCCCTAAAAGAGCAGTAGACATGAGAAACATATATATGGTAAATGTGACTGAAATTGAGACAATAAGGTATTTTGATAAAGACATTGGCAGTTTTGTTCTGGAGAAATGCTGGTGGCAGTAGGGTAAATACTGACTAAGATGATGAAATACTCTACATTAAGTCGCAATTTCAGCAACAGTCCTATTGTATTGCACAAGTGCATGGAACAGAATACTCATCATCAATGTCGAAGTAGTCTCACATTGTGGAAATTGCATCATTTTCATACTTGGAATCAGCTCCCATGACCTTATCCATCCTAGAAAAATCTAAATCTGGAAGCTCCAACAAAGGCCACTCTGAACCCCTTTTGGGCTGGAGGAAAAATCCTTGAAAAAGGTCTTTCACTCCGCTGTTGAAGTGGATTTTTTATAGCGAAGGTAATTGGGTCAATTATCTTTGCCTTCCTAAAGTTGCTGTGCTTCTGGGTTAAGGATGAAATGATGTCTGATCAGAATCAAACAGTAGAAACACAATATTATGTGTATTAAACATTATCTCTGAGAATCATGGAGATTTTACATACAGTTTTCTCTCAGAAGATTATATGCATTGGTTAGAGTTTACAGTTGTTTAACTCGAGCATGTGTAAGCAAAGTGGACGGAGATCAATCCACAAGAAACATAGTTACAGGGGTGGTTTATTTTGGTTCTTCTCTGTTTCACCAATGTAAGTAATCTTTTTTAATCTCACATTCTTCTTCATTGCTAGTTTGAGCCAGTGAAACTTATGGATGTACATATGTGGATTAATTTATTTCCTGATCAATAATTCCTTTGACTTGCTTCACTGTTGTTAATTCCATCCCATTCTGCCATTGACCTCTCCTCTTAATCATACTTGAATGGTGGGCGTTAGGTACTTAATACTTCAGGGTATCTACAACAGCGTTGGTACACCTTGTGCACTGACTAGAGAGAATGGAAATTGGAGCACAAAGTGGCGCCACACAGTTATCGTGGTACTCTGCTGATAAGCCCACACCAAATGTAATCAGAATCAGCTCTCAATGATAAAAGTTACTACACAATAATCCAGGACATTCCAGATCATGACAAAAATCTCGAGACTTTGACAGAAGCTTCAGTAACTTCGATGATATTATTAAGAGCACTAATATAGGTAAATGGCTATGATCTTATTGTCAATAAAGAGACAAGGTGACGAGAAGATCAAAGTTGAGAACTAAATAATCTGGGGTATGTAATTTTTTGAAAGCACATACAGGAAGGAAAGAGTGCAATATTTGCAATATTCCTCTCCAGATCTCAATGCAGCACATTCCCATCAGCGGCATACAGACAGCCAATGAATTCCAGGACACTTCTGGAAGAGTGTACAGAGCACAGAAAGACCAATCCCAGTATGGTGTAAGTTTTCGTTGATAATGATATTCTTGCAATGAAGATGAATGTGTCCATGCTTTCTGAATAGGTCATTCATGACATGTGGTGAAGTACACAGCAATTACTGAGAGCTAGTGCAGCCACCATTGCTTTTTTGAAGTTGTAGAGTGTATTACCTTCTTCATACAGCAACAGTTCCAGGTTGAATTGCACAAATTATATTTTCATACTTTGATAGTGGATGAAAGCATAGACATTTCAGTACAAAAAAATAGTGATTTTGTACAACAGATTTTAACCAGAATCTCAGCTTGCTTACAAGATTTTCCTTGCAGGAATTTTGAAACTGACTTCCCTGCAACAGAGCCTCCAATGGACAAAAAAGAAGAAATTTTATGTTAAAGGGACCTTGATTTGCAGAAGATGGTGATGTTTACATCAGATGGACTTTCTGTCATTAAGAACAGTGTATACAATTTTCAGCAGGTCAACCGTGAACGAAGGACAATTTGAAGATTTTGTCAAAGTCACAGAGTGTGATAAAGTGGCATTTCAACCTCTAAGTGAAGTGAGGTGACTGTCAAAATGCTTTGCAGTGAGTGAATTAATGTGAAACTATAACATCTTGATGGAGTACTGCACTGAACAAGTGAATTGTATAATGATCAAATAAACAAATACTGCCTGAAGATGCTCACAAAGCCACAATACTGCATTACATTGACAGTTCTGAATGATGGTTTGCTGAATTGACATCATTGGGCAAATTCTTGCAGAGAAGCTGTTTAACAACAATTGAAGCTATGCAATTTCCAAGGGCCAAGATAATTAAACTTCGGACTCAGTGTCTAGGTAAACATATTTGTTGGAGTGATGAAGCGAAGAAGGTTCTGGCTACTCTCAAACATAATATGAACATGGCTGAAATCCTTCAATGTATTCAACTGCTATGTGACCAGATGGAAAGCAGATTTCCACTAGAGGAATTATGACATTGGCACACATTTGATCAGGCTGCAATCACCAAGTCAACTGATAATGAATTTGGAAAAAACATCATTGTGTGACTGATATCAAAACATTCCACTTTTATACCAAACTATGACAAAAGTATGGCAAGAAAGATATGTGAAGAATACTCCAATTTCAAATTAAAGGTTGTGGTAAAAGTCATGACGGGCTCAATTCAGATTTTCGGCGATTTGGTGGATTAAACCCTAAAAGACAACCAGTTTGAAAAAAATTTCATCTCTGGACATTTGTCCAACTTTTCAGGCATCAAGTGCCAGTTGTAAGCATGGATTTAGCCTTGTGAACTTGATAATGTGTAAACCTAGAAATGGATTAAAAATAGATCACCTGAACAACTTGATGCGAATTAAGTCTTACTTTCATCTGGACAAAATATCAACCTGAACGCAGAATACAATCATTGATTGGACAGCAAATAAAGATAGTCTTGAAAAGTTGCCAACAAAGGAGTAAATAATTTACTATCGCCTTCTTTTGGTCATGTAGTGTATGTGATGTGCATAGTGCCTCCACTATATGGGCCCCAAAGCTCTGATCCAGGCAAACAACATTGTTCATTTTAGCAGGTAGAATAACTAAATGTAAAATAATATATTAATAATAATAATATTAATAAAATTATGTACACTTTTACTAGTTAATAAACAAACTGAGAAACAAAATGCAATATGATTTCTGCTCAGCAGATACCATGTGCTGCTCAGACTACCCCAGAAAAATTAGAGGGAACACTGAAAGGATGGTGGGATAGTATTGTTAAAAAGGATGGAATAAGTATGATAGCAAGAAGTGATCTTGGATCAGAAGACATAGTATCTGTTTGGGTGGAGGTAAGAAATAAAAAGGTGAAGGAAGCACTGGTTGGAGTAATCTTTGGGCCTCTAACAGTAGTTATTCCATAGGACAGAGAATAAATCAGGAGATAATAAGGGCATGTAAAAAAAGGTAGTAGATTAATCATATCTTCATGTAGATTAGGACAATTAGATTGGTAGAAGTAGCCATTAGAAAGAACTCATCATAGTGTGTGTTTGGAACAGTTTCTGAGAACAATATGTTCAGGATCCAATTAGGGATCAGGCTAGCTTGGATTTGATGAAGTGTATTCAGGCAGTTTTAATAAATAACATCAGAGCAAAAGGTGCCCTATGAAAAAGTGACTATAATAGGGTAAAATTTAGCCATCAGTTTGAGTTGGTGAAACTTGGGTCAGAAAATCTATCCTAAGCTTAAATAAAGGCAACTACAAATGAATGAAGGCAGAGCTAGCTGGAGAGAACTGGGAAAGAAGTCTAACAGCAAAGACAGTTGAGGAAAAATGGCAGATGATTAAGAAAATAGTTCATGGCTCACAGCAAAGATATATTCCCACGAGGAAGAAGGATTTTAGGAAATGGACAAGTCAGCCATGGTTAACCAGGGAATATATGCATAGCATCAAATTGAAAGAAAAAAACATACATGTGGCAGAGATTAGTGGTAAGCAAGAGCTTTGGGAAAGTTTTAATAATCAACAAAAGATGAGCTTTGGGAAAGTGTTAATAATCAACAAAAGATGACCAAAAATAATGAAGAAGGAGAAGATAAACTTTAAGGGTAATATCAAGATGAAGACCAAGTTAAAAAGAAAGAAGACAGGCCCCTTAGAGAATGAAGCTGGCAAAATAAAAATGGGGAAACAGGAAATTGCAGAGGAATTGAATAAATGTTTTACATCAGTCTTTCCAGAAGAAGGCACAAATACCACTCCAAAATTACTAAATAAACAAGAGACAAAAGGAGAATAGGAAATAAATACAACTGTCACTAAAGAAAAAAGTGCTAGGGAAACTAATGGGGCTAAAGACTATTATATCCCATGGGCCTGATGGGAGGCAACTGAAGATATTAAAAGAAGTAGCTGCAGAGATAGTAGGTGCACTGGTAGTAATCCTTGGATTCTGAAAAGTCCCAGAGGACTGGAAAATAGCCAATGTAGCATCTTTATTTTAAAGGAGAAGGAGTCAAAACAGGCCTGTTAGCTTAACATCTGTTATTGGAAAAAAGTTAGAGTTTATAATAAAGAATTAATAGCAAAGCATTTAAAATTATTATGATTGAACAGGGTCAGCATAGCTTCACAAAGTGGAAATCATGCCTGACAAATTTATTAGAGTTCTTTGAGAAGGTAATAAGCAAGATTGATAAAGGGAAAATAGTAGATGTAATATATTTGGAGTTTTAGAAGGTATTTGGTAAGGTACTACACATTAGGCTACTTAATAAGATAAGAATTCATGGTTTTAGAGGTAGTATATTAACATGAAAGGAAGATTGTCTAACTAATAGAGGCCAGAAAGTTCAGAAAAAGGGGA